AAAAAGACTGCATGGAAAATTATATTCCAGAGAGTTAATACCACTGGAATAAAGTCTAAGGCAGTTTAAGGAAAAAAATGTTCCCTTTGAAATAACAGTTTGAATTGAGTATTTCACTTTAACATATAATATTTCAATGTAATAAAAAAAAACCTTGGTCTAAAATCTTGAATTCCTGTGGCCACAGTAGTGTGGAGATTGGAAGTATCACCAAAGGTGAAATAGAAAGCTTTTGAATATATTTTTGGGTTTTGAAAAATGATCTTTCATCAATTTTAATTACCTGATTTTTAGTGATAGCACAAGTCCAGTTGGTCGGTCAGTTTCTCCGGCTGGTCATGAGGACCTTTATTTTAAGACGCAGCACCATGCACCCAGATGATGCCAACATTTAATTCAAGAAGGGTGACAAAGTTCTGTAAGTCTGATAAGGGAGAGGCGCATGCCGCTGTTGTTTTTTAGGACTTAGCACGTTTCCAAAGCAGAGTAGTAAGTGAATGCCTAATCCTACACAAAGGCCGTCTCCAGCACTGCATAATCTCCTTTGAAAAATGGCTGCAGAGCAGGCAGAATTTTATTAGTTACAACTGGCTCATCTTTGAACACAGTTTACCATATCTGTCATCATTTTTCCAAATGCTATTTGGCATCTGGACATTGTCGACTTTTCCTTGAATAGTGAGTGAGTCGGCTTATCTCATAATGTGTTTCGGCAAATTGAAGAAAATTACATCTGTTTTGTTTGTTTAGTTTTTAAAGACAAATACAATTTTATCATTTGAATATGCCTATTTATCACGTTAAACGGATTACAAAACCATAAATATTCAGCATTGCATGGTTTTGATTTAGAAAATATAGGCTGAAAGATGATGTTTCACTTATTCAGCTTATCAGTCTAATAAATCAGAATTGGCACTGCAAGAACACGCATATAAAAACTAAATTGAAGCCTTTTTTTTTTTTACAGAAAAACATTCATAGAAAGGTGTTCCACTTTCAAGCAACGGTTAAAAACATATTTGTCCTTGAACCCCAAGAAGTGAAGATCTATTTGTAAAGTCTAGAAGAAAGAAGCTGAATTCTGAACCAATAAATTACAAACCTTTGGTCTTTTTTTTTTGGTCAGTGGCTTGCCAATCAGAGGGATCCCCTAAGACCGGAGTGCAGAGAGCGGGGCAGGCATGGCAGTGAGGCACACTTCAACAGGACCTCATCCTGATAGGAAAGTACTCGTCAAGAATAACAATGAGACATGGGAATGTGTAGTGTCTGAAAAACATCCACTGTGACTGTGGAGCCAAAAACAACAACACTTAAGCTCAATCAAGCATGTGTGAGCAAGCAGTCCGAGAGCAAACCCAAACCCACTTTCTACCGTTAATGGTGTTGACAGTTTATTGCTATCCCTCTGAAGCGTACGCTCTGAATTCATGAAGGAAGAGAAGAAAGGGAAAATGTCCTCAGATTCATTGGAACATATGAATAATTTAGTGTGCCAAAAGATTTTGGACCCTTAAATTGCAAGAAGAAGCAAGCAAGTATTCTCATACACAGGCATTCATAATTAATCTGTTCCATTGTTCAGACCAGATTTGATGCAAAACACTGTGATGAGGAGGCGAGAACAAAAAGCCACACTTTGTCTTTGAACATAAATATAGAATGACTTTGTCTATCTACATTTCATTTAGTGGGTATCACATGGTTGATTTTACCCTCACCCTCTACATCTCCCCAAAAACGCTACAGTTTCATCCAGTTTTTGGATGTTATAATATGCTGTGATCTTCTATGTAGTGTTTCTGGCTGGTTAAAGATTGAACAGTCTCAGCTTAAGTATGTTGCAGCCTTCTGCTTTTAGAAGCATAATTAATCTGCTATTAGAAATACAATTCTCAGTCTCCAGGCTAGGAAAAAAAGGATAAGCGATCTTGTTTTGCTCTGAAAACTAAATATCAAAGAACTAATTGCAAAAACTGAATGAATGGTTCTAATTACCACTCAACCAAATATGATCCATCTCTGCCATTTGCCATTACAAGAGGCCATCAGAAAAATAGAATCTTAAACGGAAACCCAAGAGCCCTGATTTACATACCTAGTCAATACCTTCTTAAAATCACAATAAAAAACATGATCACCGTAGGAAGATACTGGTTGGCAACAACATAAAAAAAGGTGAATCAAGTCTAAACATGGGATTTATTGGGAATGAAGGGACTTGACATCAATTATGAAAATAGAATTAAGAACCAGACCTCAGACTACTGGTGTGCCACCGTTTAATCTGAAATCACAATCCAAGTATTTTCAAAAGCTTGCACAGACAAGGTGGGATGTTCAGACCAAAGTGAAGGTCTTTGGAAAAGTGGGATTGTTTTTATAAGAGAATGTGAAGCCCATTATAAAAAAAAGAACAGCCTGAAGTCAAACACAGTGACTGCGCCTTCATGTAGTGCTGCCGCTCCACTCTCTCCCCCAGGAGGAGTTCCATGTTTAACAGAAATTATGAAATAGGAGGTTTCAAAGTGAAAAGTGTCATCAGAGGTTTTCAAACAGAAAAATAACTATTGTAGCACAAGGGACTGATGAAGACTTTGAAGTGTCTTCATAACCATGAAAGGCAGGTAAACAATAAAAGGCAGACAGGGACAAGACGCTTCTGGAACAAAGCTTTAGATCGCAGCATGGTGAGGGTCCTTGTGTGTAGGGTACAGTTTTTTGTTTACATTATTTTACTACTGTTTATTCTATTTCAATGTCCTCTTGATGTCCCTTGTGCTCATATATGAAGCTGTTCAAAACCTATGATTTAGTGTGGCAATAATTCCAACTCTCTAATATGAGGGTCTTGAGCCATGAAACAACTCCATCTCCCGTTGGAATTCTCCTGGACGGCTCTGTATTTATAGCTGATGCTCAAAGCTCCTGTACATCTGGCCAAAGCCTGTCACCTGCAATGCATCACACTAATGAAATGGCCACAGCCCAACCCCATCTGTCACGAGTAATCATCTTACTCAGGATCCGAGCGGAAATGACTGAGGGATCGCATCTATTTTGCAACACGTTTGTATCTTTGTAGTGGTGCAAGAGTGCAGTGGCTCTTCTCAGCATGCAGTGACTGGATATTGATTTGACTTTGGCTGGAGAAAATTGCCACGGCAGGTTGCCTTATCACCCCCGTCTGAACTGGAACAGGATAGGATATTATTAGGTCTTTGGTGGAACAAAGGTCCAACGCATCTTATCCGTCCAAGTAAAAATGACTCCCGCTCGTCACTGTGACTTGCTTTTCTTTCATTGCTCTGCTGAAGTGTGTGTGCCTCCTGGTCTTATGCCCTTGAACAACTGGTGCTCAAATCAGCTTCACAAATAATGTTCAGAGTCATATGAATTTCCCTTTGTTAACTAGAAAGATGAGTGTGTAGTCTGCTTCTACACTCAGGACTGTGTTATATTCAATCATTCAAGCTGTTGGATCTCGTCTTTGTATTTTAAATTGATTCTGTTTTTAGGAAGAAAATTATATAGAACATCTTCAAGTGATTACTGACGAAGACAAATAGTTATTCTGACTGTTGTCTGCCTGCTGTGATGATAATATGGTTTGTATGCAAATGAAAGTTTCTGTGTTGGAAAATTGCTGCTTACCAGCAAATCAAAGATACTTTTCTATCAAAAAGCAAAGTTTCTGTATTCCATTGATGGGTTAATGTAAGGTTCACAACGCGGAGCATGGTATGCTTATTGTTATCTATGCTAAAAAAGTCAGATTTGACAACTTTCTCTTTTACTGATTAATCAATAAAAGGGAACATAGGGGATCATTTTCTAATCAGAATGGAGAAGAACCATGGCAAAAAAAAAAAGCTTAACATACAAAAAGTGAGGGAGTCCACTGTCGAAGACATATGTCAAGGAAGTATTAGGAAGTCATGGCTGACAAGGTTTAAGAAGCAGATTTCTGACCAAAATGTTGTAAAGTGGAATCCTTAATCCGCAACTGCTCCATCGGAGCTGCTCTGCAGACAGAGCTGCAGCGTATTCCTCTGCCCTCATCTGCCTCTGGAATACATGTAGCTTCCGCTATCAAACAAAAAAAGTCACATTAACAATGATAATTAGTATTTCCCACGGGCATCTTAACAACTGCCTCGCTGGTTTGTAAATCAGCTGAATATTTCACTGCTTTGCACCATCTCAATTCTCCAGAAACAGAAGGCTCGGGGCTCATTTTCAAAATTACTTTAATAGGGGGTCATGTGATAAGTTCCAACTTTTCTCAGAGCCTTTATGGTTATTGTACTTTCCTATCAGTTCTCATTGTTCCTGAAGAGAAAGCATGCCATCTGATGGACAACGCAGGACATGCAGCAATGCATACTTTATTCAGACAGAACAAGGAGGCTGGTGCTGGGACTAATGAAAGTTCATGCAAAAACATTTTTTTTCCCGTTTATTTTTTTATTTTTTTATTTTTTTACAAAAAAGTTATTTCATGACATTAAGTCGGCTGACATTTGTATAATTTACAACCCAACTGAACAACTTTAGTATCTGCAACACCACTAGAACAAAATAAATGTACTAAAAAGCAAACAAACGTGACTAGCTTTTTAACAGGACAAAGCACACTCAATCTTCATGCATACGATCTGGTCCAAACACGCGAGCAACTAATAGTGGTGCGTGAGAAACGATTAATCAAAGGTTAAAACTTAGAAGGGCTCGTCAGAGGCATATATTCACTGAACTCTAGATGGAAAAGGGAGCAGTGAGGATGCAGCAGCGAGGCTGAGACGCGTGGGACACCGTTAAGATGCCGAGCGGCTGCGCCCCCTCCCGGCGGAATGTGGTACTACACGTCAAAATGTCTCTAGCCATGTTACACAGCCAGTGTGTTTATTTGGGTGTTTTATGGCTGGTTCTTAACGGTAAAAACGTCATGTGAAACATTCTATTTTTCCCCATCCATTGTCAAAATGCTGCTTGTCAGTAAATCCCGGAGGAGGACGAATTTTCTGAGACAGTGACGCCAACTGTCAGCGCCTGCGTTCTGACGCCTGATTTGACGGAAAACCTGGAGGAGACAGCTGATTGACTTAACTAACACCCAAAGCATTTCCAAAGGAAAAAAAAAACAATTATCTAGGGGTAGACTTTAGATTGCTTGTGGTCAGCGAGAGGTCGTTGTTAGTGGGATCTGGACACACTGAAGTTTTGAGGGATTTTTTTAGCGGAACTTCCAGCATGCGCTCCAAACCGCTGACGTGCTAACGGTGTAGATCCAGATCACAGTGAGTTTCCGGCTTATTGAGATCGGAATGGTTGTTGAACTGTAATCGGAATAACACGGAAAACTATACACTTTGTGTTAAGCTAAAAAAAAAAATCCTGATAATTTTTGCACTTTATGTCTGTGTTTGATCACTTTGATGAATTCTAGTAACCATGACAATTTGTTTCAGCCACCGTTGGCCATCAGTTCTAAAAGTGCGGGATATATAAGTGTGTGTGTGAGTGTGTGTGCATTTTGTTCTGTGATTGTATGTGTATGTAATCACTATGATAATCCTTAGAGTGTAGCTGGTGCTTTTGAAACTTTGCCCCACTTTCTCCATCTTCTGATTTAAAGATGAACTTCTCCACACATTCCCACTGTGTCAGTCCCATTTGCAAAGAAAATGTTCCATGTTCAGCCAGAAGAGATGCTATACAGCGCAGAGGGGCCAAAGATCGGACCATACTTGGTGTCCTGTCAGACAATGAGCAACGTGGGCGATCCCTCAGCCAGGTAAGCAGCAAAGGGGAGAAACCTCAATGTTTCTTATTGATTCTTTGGTCACCCTCTAAATACGTTGTCATCTCTTTCTCCAGGGAAGCCAGTTTTCCAAGCGTAGCTCTGACACGTCGCAGCTTAACTTTCCGGGCTGTGCATCTAGTTCCAGCTATGATGTGTATGTGGAAGAGGCGTGTGAAGTTGTTCTTGCAGCTTCCGGTCAAGAAGTGGTATCGGACAGTTATAAACTCAATGCTGAGGCCAGTGCCCTGCACAATGACCATATGAGACTCCTGCTGGAACTCAGTTCAAGTGAGTTTTGCCTGCAAAAAAAAACAAATGTTATACATGTGTTTTAAAAATGATTCCTCTATTATTTTTTTGACCAATGTATGCATGTGTAGGTCCATGCCAGGATGCCTCTATGCAGTCTGAAGCTGACGACTCCCTGATAGCTTGGGATGTGTTTTGTGCAGACTATGCAGAAGATATTTACCAGAACATGAGAGAGAGCGAAGTGAGGTTATCGTGATTATTACTCTTTGATCATCAAATGATCAATGCGGTCGCTTACTTATTTCAGCTCTTATTCCAGAAAAGGTTCAGAGCGAGGTCGAGCTACTTAGAGAGACATCCAGAGATCACAAATGGCATGCGGGTCATTCTTGTAGACTGGCTGGTGGAGGTGGTGGAGGAATACAAGCTGAGTTCGGAAACTCTGCACCTTGCTGTCAACTACCTGGACCGTTTTCTCTCCTGTACGGCCTGTGTGAAACAGGGCAAGCTGCAGCTGGTCGGTACAGCCGCCTTACTCATTGCTGCGTAAGAATATGTGTCTTTTACCTTCAAAGCACACACTGCTACTGTCCCCAAACTTTTTTTGAATGGTTTTGGTAAGAGTGTGTTTGTACTGATGTGTTTTTTTTGGTGTATTTTTTTTTTAGAAAATATGAGGAGATCTTCCCTCCAGAGCTTACTGAGTTTGTGTACATCACAGACAGCACTTATACTAAAAGTCAGCTGCTCCGTATGGAGGACTTTTACCTGAGGGTGCTGGCCTTCAAGATGGCAGCACCCACCATAAACCAGTTCCTTCGCCTTTTTATGACCATCCACTCCGTCTGTGCAAACACAGAAAGTCTTGCTATGGTGGGTAATGTCAATCAGACACTGCTATGGTAATGGATCATTTTGGAAATATATATTAATGTTTATTTTTTTCAATTTTGTTTTTAGTATATTGCAGATTTAAGCATGCTAGAAATTGATCCTTTCCTTCAATATACACCATCAATAGTAGCAGCTGGAGCCCTCTGCTTAGCCACCTACACCATAAACAGATCTTTTTGGGTGAGTTCTGGCATATCCTTTTTTTTTTTTTTTTAATGAAAATACTTGTGTTGGATTTATTGTTATCATTACAACTTATTTATTTTAATGTCAGTCTTTTTCTTTTCTTTTTTTTTTAGCCTGACTCCTTAATTTATTTTACTGGTTATACCATGGCTGAAATTATGCCCTGCCTGGCTAATCTCCACAAGCTATACGTCAGTGCAGAAAGCCGTCCACAACAAGCCATCAGGGACAAATACAAAAGCTCAAAGTAAGACATGGCACATAAGATATTATATGTGTATTAAGACGGATTTACAAAGAGGTTAAACTACAAGCTTTGAGGATTTTTCATAGGGTTGCGGTTTAGATTTCTAATGAGCTTAGGACGCATGTTTACACTTTTTAATTAATTTTCTTCTCCCCATGAACAGGTATTCTCGGGTTTCATGGCTCACTCCACCTGCTGTGCTGCCTCTTTCATGAATCACTGCCCTGCCCCTTTGGTCCTTTCTGCATAGTCAGCGTTTATGAAAAACAAATACAAGACTGTCTCCTCTCACTAACATATCAACCAGACCAATGTGGGTACATCATTATCCTCATTTCTATTTTCCTAATTTCATTGCAGATGCAATTAGATAAGAGTTATTACAAGAGGGAGTAAAATATGCTCCTCAATCTAAACATCATCATTTTGGCATATTCAACTGTATATGAAAGACTCCTCTTTGTGCCGGAAAGACACACTGTGCCGGATGTGCTTTTCCATTAGACATAAAAAAACAATAAAGAAGTTGATTCATGAGATACACTTGTTATTGACTGACCTCATATGTGGAACCATTTCAGAGTCCAAATGTTTGTTTATTTCAAAGAAGTATTTAATTTTAGGAAAACTGAAATATGTCTATAAAAACATTTCTTAAAAATCTAAAATGGTGCAGAACAAGTTGTTTGAATTTAAGTTTTTTTTTTCAGGTACAAAATCTGTATTTCATATACTAAAACATCATGACCCAGAAATGGCTCTGCTATTTCTGAAATATTTTCTTTTCAACAAGGGAAGTTTTCCCACCCCATTGTCCTGAAAATCCTGTTTCATGTTTCTATCAGTAGAGAAACGGTTTGACCGAAAGGGAGTTTGCTGGGTAAGTGTGGTAAACTCCCCACAAACTTATATGTGTCCAATAATGCCCAACCTGACAGAGGGACAGGGGAGAAAGACGAGCAGTGGAAGGAAAGAGATAATTTAGACAGAAAGAGAAAGAAAAAAAGAAAGACAACAAAACCATACAACCAGCTGATGTGTCTGTAAAAAAGAAACAGTTCCTTGTGGAGCCCTGTAACAAATTTTATTTGGAAAGTGTTGGGGCGGAAGTGGACTCCTCGCTCCGGCTGTGTTGGACTTCCTTCTTCCAGTGGCGATACTAAATCTGCTTTGAAATGACAAAGCGTTGAACTGTTTTAGTCCGGACAACAGAAGGCGAAAAACTAACAGGAGAACCTATAAAACTATCCCCCCTCCTGCTTATCCCTGTGTCGACTAATGTTTGGTTGCCATGGTAACAAAACTACTTTATTTACTACTATATTTATCTACCTGTTCGTTCAAATGGGAGGGGAGGCGGTTCTATACCTGTTACCCACGTCATCCCAAACGCATAAAACTAATAAGCTAAACTCTGCTAATGAGTGTAAATCTCTCTTTCTCCTCTGAGGTTGGGACTAAAGAATGTTTCCACCCAGCTCCTGCACTTCTGGAAAAACCCGATGTGCGCGCTGCTTGTCGTTTATTCTGCAGCCGCCAAGAACCTGACAGGCATTTCCGGACATTCTCTGTCTTTCACCGTGGCTTTCGTTATGCCACCGCAGCTCTTCAGTTAAGAGTCCTAGTTGGATTTTAAGCCTCGTTTTTGTCTACCTTCCCAACAGGTGAGCCTCTCTGCTTGTTGTCCCACTGGTTCATTCTTTAGTTTGACAAGCTGTCATTTACTAATCAATAAAGGTTTTTGCTTTGTATGCACAGTTAAAGTGACAGTCATTATTTCTTTCTATTTGTCTAACATGTTTTAAATGTAATCCACTGTTTATTTTCCGTTCAGCCCTCAGTATGGCCGAACCGGCTGAATTGCTGCTTGTCAGGGACCAGTATGAGTTGGCCCTTCATTCCCTGAGTCGTGGATTGGCGGCAGAAGAGGCTGACAACACCCCCGAGGCCCTCGCATCTTACAGGAAAGGTCAGCTGCATCTCACTCAGGGACTGGAGGTCCCCACCAGGGGGGAGAGGCACCGGGGGGCGGTCTGGGACACGGCCAGGCAGCTCCAGCAGAGGATGGCCGACACTCTGAGGACCGTGGGCGCGCACCTTTCTGACCTAGAAAAGTCCCAGCAGACCACGAGAGAGCGGAGAGGCTTACTGCTGAAGGATCTCCCGCCTAATCTTTATCCAGACTTGGCAGCTAACAGCCAGCCGCCTGGGAGCGCTCTCCACCATCTGTACCCCACCATACCTGCTGTCACCCAAAACCCAGCCCCAACCCCCAACACGGGCTCAGCCAGCCCTGCTGTCCTCGCCCTCCCACACACACACACGTCCCCAGAGGCTCTGGAATCTGCAGCCATGGACAGCCCGGGAGAGCAGCCTCCAGCGTACACGCCAAAGCCCTCAGAGGGCCACCGCAGCCTGGGCCACGGTCCCACCGGACGTGGCCCCGGGTCAGAAAAACAGAGCGGAGCAATGGCGTCCGGAGGAGATGGACACGAGCTGCTTTCCATCCCCTCTGGGGTGCAGCTGTTTTTTGTGGAGCCCAGCGGGCAGGTCAGCTCTTTGTCCTATCCGGGATACCTTCGAATCATCTCTTTGGAAAACGAGCCGAAGGCGTCCTCCGCTGGAAAAGCCTCTGCGTTCTTAGATGTAAGTAATAATGAGCAGCTGTAAGGTGGAAGAGCATTCTTGTGGGTGTGTTCATCGCAGAGGTAAGTGGGTGTATCAAAGAATACCTGACCCAACGTAACGTGTCTAATGACAGTGTTGACTTTGTGACGTATAGAAAAAGGAAATACCTCCTGATCGTTAAAGATATGGCGCAGAATAAGAATTTGAAAGCAGACAATCAAAAACCATTTTTCTTTATTGGAATTTGTTGATCTTTCACCGAAGGTTCATGAACAAAAACCTGATTGACTGTTTCAGTTTCAGTTCAAATGTGTGTGATGTTTTTAGTCTAAATATTCACACAAGCTTTGCTGAACTGATTCATATATAACAATTTGCCTTTCTCTCCTTTTGCCCTCTCTGTGTAATCTTTTATTCAGAGACCTCTACGCACACCTTTTACCTCAGTTTAATGTTTTTTTTATTGATTCATTATGAAATAAAAACCTGTTCTGGCATCTCAACAAAGCACGCATTATGCTTTGTTGTGTACTACACTGCGACCTACGCGTGTGTTTCCCACCGGACTCAGCTGGTAAGCTGCTCTCCTGTATTCAGTTGCTGCTTTGTTTCCCAGAAAGACAATGGTCCCATTAACAGATGACTCGGCGCTTCTGTTGTGCGGCTGGTGTGTGTCTTGTGCCCTCACAGAGGTTATGGTGTCAGGCGGCATACCAGTGGGGCGATACAACAAGTGTGGGTCTGTTGTGTTATGTTTGTGTGGGTGACTGACATCGGTCCTGGTGCTGTCATTGTTGTTGGAGAGAAGACACAGGACACGCTCGGATGACTTTGCATTTTTGTGCCATAACAGAGAAAAAAGCAACACAAACCTTTAGGACCAATGATATAAAGACAAGAAAAGATTGTGTTATTTGATCCAATACCATAGTATTTTGTTTTATTTTCCACACAATATTTTCAAAAGCCCATTGGAAAAAGATGACTCAACAAAACTCCCGTTCTTTGCTTTGTTTTACGTGTTGGGTGCTGGATATGCATCATAAGATTTAATTTGAAACATCTGATCAGGAGGATTAAATGCCTTCTTTTTGCCGATAATGATGCTCGATTCGATTCATTCCCACCCTTCTGATTTTGGGGTCATTGTGTTTTCCAGGTGTGTGACCGGCTGTACCCACTGACGACGGACACCCCGGTGCTGCTGGCTAACTCGGGGATATTCATGTTTCCTCACACCTTGGCGGAGACGCCGGGGTCCTTTGTGGGTATAGTGCTCTCCTCTGAACTCCCTGCTGCTGACCGGGAGATGTTTCAGGATCTTCTGTTGCAGCTGGCAGATTTTAGGATCCAGGTCAGTCTGCTACTGATGTAAAACTACACCAGGAAGGGCATGCATGTGGTATGATGCCGTATGTTTAGGGATGGTATGTTTACGTCAAACATGAACAACTCAAATGCTATTTCCATTGTAAGTGGTACATGTAAGCTATGTCTGTTACCGGTAGAAACTAATGCCATTAACCTGAGATTTACTCTTGTTTTATCATGAGCCATAAAACTTTATGACTCATTATGTTCTAAATAGATCAGATTTCTGCTAAAAGCATTTTAATATAGTTTTATGTACAGGAAACAACTGACCTTTTTTTTGTCTTCTATAACAAATGGAATGCAGATGTGGTGTGTTAGGGTTTTTTCCCTTACCTCCCTAACTAGAATGCCTAATGTTTAAGAGAACCACAAAGAGACAAATGGAATGCAGATGTTCCAAACGCTCAAGCTTTATCAGTTTTTTCAGTCCTGTGGCTTTTGAAACAAGCAGGTGTTTCAAGAACGAAAGTATAGTGGAGTTCCTGCTTCATTTCAACATTTTCTAAGCCTCTGTTTTATTGGATAAGACAGCAAAATATCAGCCAAGTCATTTCTCTTTAAAAGCAGAATAAGATGTTGGTCATGTTAAGAGTAAAAATATTCCAAATCCCCTGTAATCTGTTTGGTTATACACACATTTCACAAAACATTCTGCATGGCCTGTTTTGTTGAAGTCACTGTTTAGTGAGTAATTTCATGAATTTCCTTACAGGGCCCAGATGGGAAAGAAACAGAAGCCATAAACCTGAGTACGAAAGTACCCCTTGGTCCCCTTAACAAGCAAAGAGAAGAGACCGAAAAACTACTGCTGCCTGGATGGAGTGAGAAGATGGCACAAGGAATCTTGACAGGTGAGTGTGCGTAGAAGAGATTAGATTTGGTACTCAAGTTCAGAACCACTAGTGGGCAGTGTTTACTGTCATGTCTCCACTGATTAGGAGTCAGTGATGCGTGTTACTGGACCAGCCAGGACTGTAACTGTAAAACATCAAATGTAACTGCAACAGTTACCAATGTTTCTCTGCAGGAGCCACGCGGTTAAGTGAGTCACTAGCAAAAGGGGCTGAGGCCACGGGGAGCTTCATTCACAGAGGAGCTGCCAAGATTCGTGACCGCATCACACCTGAGGACTCTCCCTCAGAGGTCAGCCCCCGGGTCACCAAAGGACTGCATGTGGCTAAACAGGCCACAGGTGGCGCTGTGCGAGTCAGCCAGTTTATAGGTGAGGACACACAACTGAATGGGAAGTTATCCAATAGAGGAATGTGGGTGCTGCACTCTGGTTTTATGCATCAAACTGGTGTGTGAAAGCACACATCACAAACAGCAGTAGACCAGACTGCCAGCTTGATAAAGATCTATTTAAATACATGAATGTCAATGGGGATATGGCACTAACGTTATGTTTGTGTGTATTTATAGTGAATGGTGTGAGTACAGTTGCAGAGCACGTAGCAGATAAGGTGGCACCCCATGTGAAGAAACATGGAACCAAGCTGGTCCCAGAATCTCTGAAGAAGAGCCAAGATGGCCGTGCCTCTAACTTGAGTGGAGCTAAGTTTGTAGCAGCCAGCGGTGTTCATGGTACGCACACATTTACAAGATTATGTGTCGTACTGTCCGACAATCAAACTCCAAGTTCTAACTATATCATACATAGAAATTCTTATGGATTATGCTTGATGCATATGTTTTTTTCTTTTAAAAATTACATTTAAATTTATTTTAAAATTAGGTTTCTCTACTGTTTGGTCAAGTCTGGAGGTTGGAGCAAAGCACGTTTGCAAAAGTGTTGCAACTGAGACAGTCTCGACAGTGAAGTACAAGTAAGTGTCTCAACTCTGCTTCTATTATCGATTTATTTATTATTTGGGAAGCTGGATGGACTATTGCACACTTTATTTCCATTCTATTTCCTCGCTTCAAACTCCAGTTTGGGGCTGGATGGTGACGCTATTCTACTTCTTGCTAGTCTGTTGATTTCCTCTTGGTACGTTGGTGCACTGACCTGCTCTCATACCTGTTTCCTTTCAGATTTAGGGGATTAGAGAATCTTTTTAACATGCCCAGCAACAAATGACTGCGCGGGGGAGTAAAGACAAAGACTTGTGAACTAACAACTGATGCTGCTAACCCTTTCTTGTACAATCCTTCACTAACCTATCAGGTTAGAAAATGACACAAAACATCCCAAACCTGACACAGAATAATAACTCTTGCTCACACAGACTTCACTTTGACAGAATGATTTTTTTAGCCTGTTCATTAAAAGGCTTTGTCTGTACAAGCAACGTAATGACTGTTCTGAACACTCAGAAGTGCAACTTGAAGTGTTTTTTTCTCATTCATATCTATTTCATTTTATCTTTTTGTGCTAAGCTACCATGATTGCATATTACTTTCTGAGTGCCTAAAACTAGAACAACCCACTGTTCATGACTGGCTCCTGTGTACACACAGTAAGTACTGGGGCTGCTAGTTAAAGTGCTGCTAGCTCCACAGCTTCAGTGTCCAGTCACTGCTCCTCTGGTGTTCATCTTTCTGGACGTGTCCACGTTAACCTCTCTTTGGTGTTGGCTTATCACAATAATTGTAGATCTTTCCTGGAGATTTCTACAAATAAAAAGCTACTATACAAGATTTGACTGTTCTTTTTTTTTTTTTTAGCCCAAAGTCTTTCAGCAGCTTTGCAAAACTGTCACACTCCAACACTTTTACACATTCTCATTTCCATTTATTTTCTCACGCATAACCTGTCGTCTCTAACTCGGCCATATTATTTGTGGCGAAGGTACGGTGATGATGCAGGCCAGGCCACAGACACTGCTCTCCAGTCAGTGGCCAATGCTGGTTTGACGGCACACAACATTGACAATCTGGGAATCAAAGCCTTCCTGAAGACGGCAGGTAAGAAGACAGCCAAGGCCTTGGTCAGAAGCCACGATGGACACCCAGCAAGCACTGAAGAGGAGGCTCAGAAAGAGGAACTCGGTGCTCAGGCTGAAGAGAAGGACGCACAGAGGAAGATGGAAGAGGAGAAAAAGAAATAGTTTATACATGTCGCAGAAGCTTTCGTGTGTTTGTGAGCTGTATGACTTTAAGGATGCCAAACTATTGGACCGGCATCCATTTTAGGGGTCTCCATGAAGATTTTGCAGGTGTTAGCTCCAAGACTGTTCTGACTCCTTGTGTATGTGGACTATCTATGTTTCGCGAGTTCTTGTTTGAGTTGATAAATAATTAAAGTGATAAATGTGATCCTGTGGCATAATTGCATTTCCACGCTTTCTATCCAGTTCAAGATGAAGGCACTTCAATTGAGACGGTCAGGTCAGTGATGAAAAATGCCATCCCTCTAAGATGTGTCTAACTAACTAACAATCAACTGTAAAAGAACAAATATAACTGCTGCATATAAGTTGATATGGAAAACCCTTTAGGTTCAATATCAGTAAACTCAAAGACTCTTAGAATTTCCCTTTTTTCCTCCAGAGTATACCAACATTTATTTATTGTCAAATGTTGGGCTGCTACATAACCCAGTCGTGCGTGTGCAGACTAAACTACAGTGTTTGTTTTCTATGTCTTCTTATTGTGGGTGAGGGTCCCCACAGTCAGCTGTATTCCATCAGAGCCTGGTGTGGATTTTCATGCGTAATTAAGCACGATTTAGCCTAATGATTAAGCTTGTTCAAAAACCACACCAACTGTCTGAGGAGATTTCCATTCATTTAAAACGTCTCCCAAAACCTTGGAGAGGTCCTTTTGGTCGCCCTTTTTTGCCGCAAAGTGTGATCTCCATGGAAACCAGGAGCAACAAACTTTTTCTTTAATCGTTTTTTCTGAAACATGGCGAGAGACAGAGACCACAGCCAACGCGATCTGGCTCAGCTTCAGGCAGAGCTCGAAGAGGAGAAAGAGACCAAGTGAGTTTTGACATTTAGGGCTCAGTGGATCCCGTCCTGTTGCGCAAACGTGGCGTTTTTGTGCTCTAATGTTGCAGGGACATGCTGGAAGAGTCGGTTTCTGATCTGCGGAACACTATGTTTGAATTGCAAGAAAAACTGCACAGTGTTGATGAGGAGGGTGAGCTCACAAACTCCAGCTGCATGAACAGCTGTTGATCTGGTGGGGGGGGGGGGGGGGGGGTTTTTTAGTTTAATGGGGGTAGATTTTACGTCACAGATTTCTCTCTATGCTGTCAGCAGGAAATGAGTGGAAGACAAGGTATGAGACTCAGGTAGAGCTGAATGCACAGCTGGAGAGGCAGATTTCATTTGTTCGTGGCAGACTGGAGGACATAAGTGGGAATCCCATGGGTAAGTTCTCAAGTTTTCAAAGTTGAGTCTTTCGGGGGGGAAAAGTTACTCTAGGCATGTAAGTATTCTTAACTTATCCTTATATCTGTGTATACTTCTCAACAGTATATTTATTAGTATAAGATGTAAGTACAGCACTTAACATAACTTATTACTCCATTTTATCATTCATAATTACTACTGACTATGTTTATTACAACATTACACTAAATATGAGATAATAACCTGGAGAAAAATGTCAGAAAAGGCATTAATAAGTTTTAGAAACCTTACCTGTACAACGTATGAAGACAACAAGCGCACAACACGCACTGCCTTACAATCTTTTTCTACTGGTGGGGATTTTGCTTCAACACAAAAAGCCTTACATAGCATTCTTGTTGTGTCCACTTTGTGAAGCGTTTGAGTGTGTGATTTATTACTGCGTGGTTTTCTTCCTAAATGGTCCCATGACTGCATTGTATTTATTAAAAATCAACGCCATGTTTTATAAGATCAAAACTAATGTAAGTGTACTCACACTTGCTCCTGTCTCTCACAGATCGGCTGGCTTCTATCAGATCATATGATGACATGTCAGTGGTGAGTGCCAACACCTTCAATTTCTTTTTAGGTTTTCCTATTATTTTTTATTTATTTATTGTATTATTCTATTGATCAGATGCATGGTTGAGCTCAGGGAGAAGCACACACCAGCAGAGTGCCAGAGAAGCAGAATGAGTCCTAACAGGACAGAGAGGACTTTGATGCCAGCTGCACTCGATAAGTTGATGCAGGCTGCATGAAGCAGAGTTTAATCACAGCACTGTAATAACAGGATTACAAACCATGGGAGGGTAATGCACCCTAATTACAATGCTTTAGCACACATGCACACACGTACAGTCCACACAGTAAAGGGTTGCATGGTAAACTTTTATCACTTGTATGCTAAAAGGAAGGTTAAACATATATTTATTAGTATATCCAAGGAATTGCTTTGGAAGTTTTGTGGTTGACAATCAGTGAGTGTGAGAGTAGAATAGCTTATTGGGAGCTCGTATATGATCATCACAGTATAAAGTACAAGAACAGGGCCCTGCTCCAAGTACCAAAAGTTCCCTTTCCTGTGCTGTAAATCTGACACAGCCTCCCCATGTCTCAGCACTATTATGTTTAAGTGATAAATGAATAATGCCTAACCTATTTTTTAGCCTCCTGTTTTCAGCATTAACTAGCCTCCTGTTGTTTGCTCTAATAGTGTTATTCAGGTACAAATGCGTTTTTTAAAACAGTCTGTAATCGGGTTATACATTTTATGGAAACTTGCAGGACATGCTTAAACAGCGCCTTAAACTCCTGACCGATGAGAAGTCTGAACTTCAGAGTCAACTGATGGACTGTCATCTTCAAATTGAACATGAGGCAAAGGTGGGAGTCTCATTTGTTTCTGTAGAGACCACTTAGGGGATTTTTGTGTGGAGGATTTATGGGGGTCACAGTCTCTGCTGTTCTAGTTTTATCATGTCTAAGGAAAGAAGCTTTATTCTGGGATTTTTTCTAGTTATAAATGACCATCATTAGCACTGGATTGAGATAGATTTGGCTGAATTATTTTTTTGGGTTTGTTTGTTTGCATTCTTTGTTTTCTAGCAACTGTGACGTAAAAATGGTCTTCAACCTTTGTACTGCACTGCTCTTAGTACAGCACTTTGGCTCTTTGTGCATTGTTCTGTTCAACAAATGGCAAGATATTAGTTAAAGAAAGCTTTAACGCACATCACGTGCAGCCATTAATCCTTAATCTCATGCTCATTTACAATAAAGACTTCTTAAATGCAGCCACACCAGACAAAAACCAAGCATGAACACATGAACAGATGCATTACTGAAAGAGTCAGAGTAATCAATGAATGAAAATAAATGATCAAATGGTTTTATTTCTTTCATGAATAAGGCATTTCACAAAACCAATGATGAGAGGCGGGCATACCTTTCAGAAATCTCTAAGGTAAGCGTTCACTGAGGAGTTTCCTTAACTCCAGACAATGATTGAACATTGCATGTTTGTACTGATAGTCAAGTAAAGAGACAACAGACTCTTTCTGGTGCTGTCTATGTTTCTTTAATCTGAAGTCATAGTTGTAATTTCTTATTCATGTGTGTGTTATATTATTAGAATTGAATGTAGAACTTTCTGTTTCAACGTGAGTGATTTTGCAGAGGGGAAACTGAGCTACTTTTTTCCATGTCAACATTTTAGAAACAGATCTTTATATTTTTCTTAGCTTTTTTCATTCTTGTACTGTCTACTATGAACACATTAGGTCACATACATGTACATGTATGATGTGCTCATATAAAACATCCAAATTACTCAGAAATGGTCTTTTCTGTCAGGTATCTTCTACCAGTGAGGCCCAAAGAAGACAGTTCCTCACCCAACGACAGAGGGAACCGAGGAGAAAACAGATCAGGTTACTGAAGATCAAAACTTACAGCAGATGAATAAAATGAAAGGATCAGTTGGACAAAGGTTCATTTCAATCGTGCAAAGGTTCTTTTTAGATGTATTCCCCTGGAAGATAAGGTGACAGATTCCCATTGCAGAAGAAACCGAAAGGTTTTTTTTAATATTCAGTCAGTGTTTTTTTTCCCCAGTCAATCTTTTAGTGTTCTGAATGGGTAATTCACAATATGTAGGTTGCCAGACAATTAATATACCCTTCTTTATGTTTGATTTTTTTTTTTTACTGATTTATATATTTTTTACTTGCTTGTTCATTCACATTCTTTTTTTTTTCCGTGAAAATTTCTGGCTCGTAGAGGGAAGCATACTGGCAGGAAGGCAGAGGCTGATTCTAAGAAAGGAAAAGAGGAGAAAGAAGACAGAGGAGGAGAGCGTTTGAACGGAGGCGGTGGGGAGGGCTCAAAAACAGAGCCAAGACAAAACGGCAAATCACAGGGGGCGAGCCGGTTGCCCACCCTAAAGCACTATCTGAAATACAGTCCTTAACCAAAACATGGTGTTCTTGATGCTTTTAAAACATGTGTAAGGTTGTTGTTTTTTTACGGTGTACTCTGGTTGGAATGATTGTTTAATGATTTAATTGAATTATTGAAATCATGAGCTTGTTTGTTTTGTTTATATTACATAAAAAGGGCCTTATGTGTGTTGTAGGGGTCAGATGTGTGGTTCTGAAGCCTGCTAAGTCTGACATTGCATGTGTGACTGCGTTACTTTTTCTGAACCTCCTACACGTATTACGTAAGCAGCACCACATTCACTACTGTCTGCATGTGCTTTTTCCACAGTAGTCACCCCCGTCCTGCCCACTGACCATCCTTTTGCACGTAGGCAAGAAGAAACTATCCACATGAGATGAAGCGTTGGTTTAGTTCATTGTTGGTAGCTCTGTTTTCTTTGTTTTGTGTGTGTGTTGAATGTGGGGGATGGCTTTAATTCTTCTAAGGCTCACAGATTAATTGAAACAATAGTAAGACATATGTTCAACATCAACATGCAGTCATTATTTTGTATTTCCGTTCCTTTGATTAAGTCTTCTCTGAAGATCTCCTGTTATCTGATAGTGTGTTGCAAACTGATGTTTTTTTAATTAGTTCATAAATTATGTTCTTAGATGAGTTTTTAGTCTGTGATTTATGCATTCACTAATCTCTGACTTTAAACTCATCACTGACATTGCAGAGAATGTGAGAGAAGTGAAGAAATGACATAGAAAGTACACACTCCTTTAATGTGTTGGGAGGTATGTTATTTTGCAGTAGTTCATCCACTTAGTTGTTTAATTTATTGATATTCTTTGGTTAAAAGTGCCTAATCTTACTTCAATTCAGGACTTTACCTTTCCAAACAGCTTTGTTTTTTTTCAGTATTTTCTGATAAGAAAACCGTCACAGATAGATTTGCTTACATTTTGCTCTAGAACTCAGCAAGATAATTCTATTTCTGTTTTTATTATCAATTATGACAAGCCGTCCAAACTCAAATTAAATGAAAAAGACACAAACCACAATCAGTCATTCCAGTCATACACATCTGGTTTTAAGAAGGTCTTCTCTTGGTTAAACATCAAGCTTTCATATATCAGAGGCTTTGTGGCCAGCTATTGGACAACATTTAGTGGCTGGCTGGGTCATCAAATTACTTAAATGAATAATCTGATGACTTTTCAATCTACATCCAGACTGTCTACATTCCACTAGCAGTACAAATGAATTTGCTGAATCATAACTGTGCCACAGTGACATGTTGTTTGTTCTAAGATCACAGACCTCTTCCTCCTGTCTTTTTCCCTTTTTAATACGCATGCTTCCCCAGCTCACGTGATCCTGCCACTGCCTCACAATCATTTTTCAGTTAGCAGTCCTGTCTGCACTCACTATGGATGAGCTGCAATGACTTTGGCGAGTGCAAAACTGTCTGACTATTCTCAAACATCCACCTCCTGGCAAAATAAGGTCATAGCAGGGACTTTGTCCTTCCCTTTTCCTACAACTTTCTGACACTTATTTCTTAAACCATGTCTCCCCTGTTTGTGTGCCCTGTTTCTTCAGGATTATTTTAGACAGGAACATCTCCTCTGCCCTCTGTTTGTGACGCATGCAGGGTCCCTGTGAGTGGTTCCCTAAATAGACAAATCGGTGTGCAGACAAAAAACTCCTGTCACCATCAGTCTCATTCAATTATGTGCAAATGTACACAACAATAGGCATGCTCACACTCCATGCTTTCAGACACTAAATTAATAAGGATTTATATTAATATTTTGGGATAAGATAAACAAACATTATGTAACACAAACAGACTGAAAGATACTATGTTTTAAAGAAGAGTTGGGAGTATGCAACTCTCACCATCACCCTTGTATTAAACAGGATATGCTCATCAGAAAGTGAAGGGAACTCAATGGTCACTAGGTAAGATGGTGTGGGTCAGCTGGCTCTATTTCTTTTTGCTCAGGGAGACTATTTCCCCCTGTCTTGTAAAAAAGGAGAAAAATTAAGAGTTCTCGGGAAAGCACAAGAAACTATGACACATGTTCTCTTTGTTCTTACCTTGTTTAAAAGATGTGAGCTAATCTTAGTTGAGCATTTATTGGAGAATTAGGAAAGGCATTTAAAAGATAGACATTTATTCTGCCTTTAGTTTCAAGTAGGAAATGCAGTACACCATTCATGGAATATATTGCTGTGTCTTTGTTTTTGTTTATAGGAGAATGGATTCATCCTTTAGGAAGACTCAGTTTATTGTTTTTTCGTCCATAGTTTGGATTAGAAATGAAAAGAGGAACAGGTCAATAACTTATTACCTCAACTTTTTCAGGATGTTTTCATTTAATATTTTGTCAATTTAAGAAAATAACAGGAATAATAGCATGGAAGTGATTAAATAAAAAGAGATCGCTCAAACACAAAAAAAACTGAATGCAAAATTGATGCACGCCCCCCTCCTGCCTGCTGAACGTTTCCTCGGGGCTGGGAGGTGACCAAGCACGGATGTGTGAGGCGTGGGTAGCGTCTTAATCACGAGTGGGGGAGCTGAACAAAAAATCACGACAAAATGACGTGAAAAAGAGGGAGGAGAAGGAGAAGGAGGAGAAGTGAGAGGGGGATGGAGAGAGAGGGAAGGGGGGGCTGCCAAAGACAAACGGGAGGGTGAGCAGCTGCTACCCAGTCAGTTCCCAGTCCAGCCTGCGCCTCTTGATCGCTGCGCACACACGCACACGCACACACGCACGGCTGGTGTTTGGCCGGAGCTCTGACCACAACAAAGGGACACAGCAGCAGCATCCGAGCTGCCACAAGACATCCCAACTCCCCCTTTTTTTTGTTCTCATCTGCTGGTCGGGAAAAAGCACCGGTCAGGCTGGAGGTGACCACCACAGAGGCGCTGAGTGCTCGCGTTGGTAAGCCACTCATTGTGTTGTGACGCCGGGGCTGTGTTCCGGGTCACGTCAAACACACCTTTACGCTATTTTGGCCTGATGCAGGTGCAGATGTGATCACTTAAAAAAAGTGAGACCTAAAAAAAAAAAAACCCGGTGGCTTTTAGCGGTGTGGGGTCAGCTGACTGGTGTCCTGCTGTGGACCAATCTTTGACAGCTTTTCCGGGCTCCAAAACGAATTGGCCGAATTGGCCGTATCGATTCGTGACCGTCGCTGTCCACCCATCCGGGCGGACGGCTCACTGTGGGACGTCATGAAGCACACTGTCCGCCGCTCGGCTTAAGAGCACTTAATCTCTCATTAGGGGGGGGTTATTTTAAGACAACGCAACCGCGACAGACACCGGCTGGCCACTTTATCAGCCTCTCCTGGGTCGGTTCCTTCGTCCTCGGCACTTTAGGTATTTTAGGTAAACTTTGAACCGCAGCATCCCCCCCCTCCCCTCCTCTTTGTCTCCCAGACAGCACAGCCGTCCTCGTGAGTCTCGGCAGCGAGATGGAGATGGAGCACTTCGACGATCGGGACAAAGGTCAGCGACACGGGCGGTCCAGCGCCAGGATGAACGGGGTGCCCAGCCCCACGCACAGCGCCCACTGCAGCCTGTACCGGACCCGGACCCTCAAGACGCTGACCGCCGAGAAGAGAGCCAAGAAGGTTCGTTTCTACCGCAACGGCGACCGGTACTTCAACGGGATCGTGTATGCCATCTCCACAGACCGGTTCCGGACTTTTGACGCCCTGCTGGCTGACCTGACCCGCTCCCTGTCCGACAACGTCAACCTGCCCCAGGGGGTGCGCACCATCTACACCCTGGACGGCAAGAAGATCACCACTATTGACCAGCTGGTTGAAGGTGAGCGTAAACAGAGGCCCCCGGAAAGGCCAGCAGCAAAACCTTTGGTCATGTGGAAGCTTTCAGCTTTCATGGAACCTGGACTCTTTGCCCTACTAACACGGGTTGTGCCCTGCCCCATTTCATGCTGTAAGCTATGGATAAGGATAAGTAACTAACAAGACTACGCAATAAATAGTCTCCCCCCTGGCACATTTACCATTTGAATGAAGAGCTATTTTAGGAGGATTACTCCAGAAGAAGTGATAATTAATCTGAGAACTGTTAGTGCAGATTATCTCTCATTTGATGTCCATATGGTCAAACAGTTGCAACCTTTGTTTCCGCACAGATTACCTCTCCTTTACCCTCCTATAGCTTAAAGTAAGTATTACATCATGAGGGGGGCATGGGAAGACCTTCTATTCTCTACTTATCTTCAGTATCCTTACTTTTCACCATAGGCGTTGAAGAAACCCAGTCCTACTTGAAAGATTTCAGATCCATTGCTGTTTTCTAATGTTTGTGACTTGGCTCTCCTTTGATTTCCACTCCTCCTCTGTAACCCCAACAGGTGACAGCTATGTGTGCAGCTCTGCTGAAGCCTACAAAAAGCTGGATTACACAAAGAATGTAAACCCCAACTGGTCAGTCAACGTGAAGGCCTCGGCGTCCTCCTCCCGGGGTCCCGCCTCTTTGGGTTGCACCAAGACTGGGTTTGCAGATGGCCGCGAAAGCAAGGAGTTCATCCGTCCCAAGCTTGTGACAGTGGTACGGAGTGGAGTAAAACCTCGCAGGGCCGTGAGGATCCTGCTAAACAAGAAAACAGCTCATTCCTACGAACAAGTCTTGACCGACATCACCGATGCCATCAAGCTGGACTCCGGGGTGGTGAAGAAGATCTACACACTGGAGGGCAAACTGGTAAGACATTTATGTCCAAACAGCCTGACTTAAAAAGCACTGTTAAGCACTGATAAGTGGTTGAAACAAGACAAAAATGCAGAGCTCTAACATAAACGGGAGATTATATAATGCTGCAGAGTAGATCTATGTTAAAGTGGCTAATAATATCGTTATTTTATCAAGATGTAAATCTTGTAATCCTTGAAAAGGGAAATAAAAGAGTCTAAGAAGATGAATATTTATGGAGCTCAATTTCATTTTCTTTTCTGCATGCTTTAATGAATGAGGGTTATTTATGGCTACCTTCATTGTGGACCTCTAGAGAATCTGACACATAGACTGAAATAGGACAAGAAGAGGAAGAGTTTAAAGAAGTCTATGAATGGAGCCTCTCCCACGCTGCAGGGATCTATCCTAGAACTTTGCCTCACAATGTAAAAAATGAATCCATATTGTGTCCCACTTCACAGTCCAACCACCTCTCCAGCTGCCGTTCTCTGAGAACGATGCGTATTTCCCTCACTGCACCTCTAATATCAGATGTTTCTGTCTGGATGATACACTGAACTTGTCTGCACTGCGGCCAAATCCTGACAGAAAAACCTTCCCAAAGTTTTCTGTTGTGGTTTGTGTCTCTTTCTCGGCAGAGGAGAAAGGTGTTGTGTCTGCCACAGCATCAGTGTTATAGACTATGTGTGGCTTGCTCTTTTGCTCTGTGGTCTTGTCCTATTTTCGGTCCTGTCACCTCCGTCTTGCCACTTTTCATCACCACTTCTTCTCTGTGCCTGTCGGCTTTCTGTCTTCTCTCTGCCTCTTCCTCTGTCATGCTGTAGATCTGACTTATTGAATGTAGTGACACAGAGCCACTTCTCCCTGGGCTGCAGCATCAGAGTGACACCGTTATTTTTTAAACAGATTGCGCCAGACGTCAAGGGCGCCCTGGCATTTTGTGTCATCTGGCAGTAATGCTGTCCTAAATGGCCCTAAACTGTCTCTTTGCTTGATGTGATTTACACGGTTGATGGCCATGCGATCACATTTATTACAGTTCTAAAGAGTCATTTTTATGTGGACTGTCGTCGCCATTGGTTTATTCAAGCCTTGTTGAGATATCAGGAAGTCGCCCCTTTCCAAGATCCCAGCATCATCACATAAATTCCCCCAAAGTTTTCCTTTAGAAACCTCCTGTCCAAGATTAAACACACTTTTCTACAGTGCCCACTCATTCTGTTGTTGCTGTTGGTAACAACGTTCTTGGAGATTGCACAATAAATACATGGCTTTTCATGCTCATCTCTCTAGGATTGGAAGTAAAACTGTCATGGCTGTGTTATTTTTAGACGCAGTATTGATTGGGCCCCGTAGGCATGGTAACACACTCACTGTCAAATTGGCTGGGCTGGGCTGAGAGCAGATTCAGCCTCTCTCTTTAGGCTTTATTTGTGTGCAGGTGTTGGCTAATGAGTTCATAGATTTATATTTCTGATCTTGTTGTCAGGAATACACACAAAGAGAAAGTGAATGTTTCTTTAGAAAGCTGGAAAACAGTGGTGAAGGACTATGTAACAGAAGCCATGCTGCTTGGGTCTGAGTCCATGTATGGTTTTTGAGCTAGAGGAAATCTAGCTCAAGACTGAAGAGCCTCTTGTTTCCTGGGTCAAAGCTTTACCACTCTTGAGTTAAGCTTGTGGGGAATTTAAACCCCTTATAATAAGTGGTACAACCTTTATGCTTAATTTAAAAAAATGACCCTGAAAACAATGACATTTACCACGGGACGACAAAATAGAATTTTTTTCTCAAATATTTCAGAACAGACTTCTGTGTTTGTGAATGGATGAGTGAAGGAAAACATTTTGAGTTCAACCTCTGTGTCAGTGGCTCTTGAACATACTTTATTGACTCACTGGATTGTGCCACAGGTAATTACATAAGGATACGGTTCCCTTAGAGGCTAAGTAAAACACACCTCAGTCTGTGTGTGGGGGCAGGTGCATGATGTGTGCTGGCAAGTTTAGTGATACAAGGCTGGTTTTCAGCTGAGCCACGTCAGGTATTGAGCCTCCTGCAGAAATAGGTTTCTGGGCCTGGCTGCCAGTTACGTCAAGTCCCAGCTGAGGGGAGCTTGGGCTTCTTACTTTCATTAACCCCTGGAATGAGGTCGGAAATGGAGGGGGTGGACTAATCTGTACTCTTCTATAAGGATTGCTAGAAATTCATTTAAGATTAAGACACCGCCGCTAAAATACACTGAAATTGATCATGTAGTTACTGAAAACCTGTTTTCAGCAATGGTCTACTATTCTTTTACAACGCCCCTTTATGAATGTAAAATTCATTTAAGTTCAGGGGCTTTTCAGCGCTATTTGTAAGACAGACATTTTGGCTGTCATTGGGCAAAATGCTCTTTAGGTACCTTGCTGTTAGAGAAAAGGACTTTCTTTGGAACATATTTCTGTGATTGAAACAAGCAATGGCAAATATAACTCTAACTCCAACTTTCGCCAGCCATGCTCCTAATGGTCCATAACACGATTCCACTACCACCATCTTGACATCATCTTAAGGTGTTTCATTTGCTGTTAAATTGCTTATATTGTGGGTTGGATATTTTATTCTTTTCAGCCTGGTAGCATGGTCAGAATAATTGTTGCTTGGTTATCTGTGTGAGAAATGAGAGCACATGCACCTACGGTGATTCTCCTGTGTATGATGATACTGTGTGTGATACTCTAGTGCTCTCTCCACTGAGAGCTTACTCTACTGTGATGGTGTTTGGATATCATATATCTGCTGGCAATATGAGAATCTGCATCAGGAAGACTAGATCAAGTTCTACTCTCACTACTTTATTGATTCTCCTGAGGTCCATCCCCTCCTCTACGGTGTTATCACAACCTGGAATTTCTCTGCAAGTTTGTCCCTTCACCAGTGTGTGTTATGACTTCATCTAGTTGCCTAGAAACGAGTTAACCTGCTACGATGTGTCACAGCGGGATGGCGTAGTTTGGCCGGTATGATCAAGAAGATAGACGGCCTGTAAGTGGCTTAGGACACAGACATGGCTGGCCTATTAATACATCTAAGCTCTGTTTACACACAGACGCCATATCAAACCACAGCTGCCGGCCCAGAGCCTTTACTGCATGCTCAGAAACAGATAGTGACACAGCTTCCTCTGGACTCGCAGATGCTCGCTCATGGAACTGGAAGCATCTGCCAACCAGGGCATGAAGTGATGCCACTTAACTCATCTCCAAGGTTGGCTGAATCCTGTTATTAGGAGTTTAGTTAATGAGAAGCTTTATTTTTCCTCTCGGCTGGTTCGGACATAATAGTGTGCATTCTGTGGCACCCATGTCTTATACAGTTCGTGCTAGGAAATTTGCATAACCAAGGGCATAGTTTAGCGAACCAGCCAGAATGTTTTCTTAAAACTCCGCCTTGAATTTGCAATGTGATGATGGAAACCCAGGTAACTGGATGTTTTCTTCCCACTTGAGTGGGTCTTTGATGAAGTGTTTAGTTGTTCAGTTCAGTTTTCACAAGCCTGGAAAAGAAACAAAAACATCCTGGATTTATTTGATGCTTGCATGTATTGTCCCACTTGCATCCAAAATATATTTTTCTCTACCTTACAACTTAATACCTCAGTCTATACCTCTGGCATGCTTTTCACCAAGATGCTGATCAATATAACTATTAAGTTATTTTATTAATGTTAAATTCATGTTAAATCTTCTTCTAGCATATTGCACTCAAGGTAAGTGTGTAACTGGTGCTGTTGATTGTTAAACCCTCTTTTTGTAAGTTGCTTTGGACAAAAGCATCTTCTAAATGCATACATTTAAATGTAGATTATTTTGTCCACTTTTGTTGCTACTCATGACACGGATTTACATTATTTCTTATGAATTAAATGATACAGGTCTTTAAAAGATTTTATGTTGGAGAAGAATGAGGATGAGCCACTTCTGCAATGCAGCTCTCACCTCTCAAACCGCATTGTTGGCTTCTCTGTATCCTTGCTAGCAAAGCCACAGTGCTTTTATTTTCCTCCTCCTCTTCCTCTGCGTCTCCCTTCTGTTCTGGGTCTGTGACTTCACCTTCAACATTTCTCCAACTGGAACTTGTTTTTTTGCTTCTTTGTCTTCATCTGTGTCTTTTTTGTCCTCATATAGATGCATTTACAGTTCACCTCTGATAAAACCCCATTTCTTGACATCTATATTCATCTTCTTGACTTAGTTTCCTTCTCTCACTGGCAACTGTCCATTTTTGTAACCGTTGTTTTGTCCTCATTTAATTAGCACACTGCGTGCATCCCTGAAATGAATAGATGAAATACTTTTCAGAACCCTTTCTGTCTCTCCTACTCCATACCTCCCTGTTTCTTTCTCTTTTGCATTGGTCACTGTGCACATTAAACTACTTTTATTCTGTTTAGTCCTTGTTTCTATTCTATTTGGACTTTATTCAGCACTGCAAGCAGAAGGCACTGCAACAATATGAATTATAAATATTCATTTATCGTAAAGAGCATAGATAATTTTATTGTTATATATAAAGTTGCTTTCCATCCCAGCTGGGTGCATTGCATTTTGACAATGGGACTTTTTGTTGTGATGAATGTGGAACAGTCCATCTGCTCCTCCTGATCTGCTGAGTCACAGCTACTCTGCACTCAATACTTGTGAGTAGGTATGAGAGGGTAGTATATTTTGTATCAAAAACTCTAATGATAAATATTTTGTGGATTCCACAGCATAAATCCTAGCAGTTTTTAGCTGTTTCCAGTCTAAAAGGGTCATTTCAAGTATCTTTTTCAGTCATGTTGCCTCTCTATCTCCTGCCTCCATTAGCCACCATCTGTATGTGTGTCTCTGTCTGCCAGTGAAGAGTGACTGTAGCAGATCAGGGAGCTGCTGCCAAATTAGGATCGATGGCAGACGTTTTCTCCACTGGCAGGCTGTTGAAACTCAGTAACACAACAACTTCATCACAGATACACACATTCAACATCTGAGTCATTCACTACCCGACTCGATATA